AGAAATGCAATTATAAAACTCCAAATTACTACAAATATTTACAAATCCAAAGTAAAGGAATGAGCTGCTGCAAGAAGGGTAGGGTCCCATTTCCAAAACCTTGAATTATTGATGTCAAATAAATTTTTCGACGCATCTGAGGTTTTTTTTCTTTAACCCAAAAGTTTTGTCACCCATACCTAACCAAGTGCTAAAAAAAGGTGTGAAACCTTTACTGGAGTTTCCACCACAACTACTGAGCATCTTATCTTCGTCTTTTTCACCTTTAGTTCAACAAAAACATTTCAACAGCTCTTAAATTAGGGGACATTTTCTTTCAAACAGACACAGACAATTCAGTGTATGATTACTGTAATTATAGATGGGTGTTATCCCTCAGCTGATACACAATATTAGAGCAAGAGATCCTAAGGGGGATGTGAAAACTAATGATATTTCTACATAAGTATTGGGAGTATAGTGACCTCTTACTGAATTCAGAATTTATTGAAAACTACTTTGACTACATACAGTCCTCAATTGCTTAGGATAGCTAAGACTGATTGAAAGCCTAGCATGCCAAAGAGCACGCTTGGATTACTTGTCATTCTCAGATTTCTAAGACTTGAGTCAGAGGTAAAGCTTTCTGACTCTTTAATCCTTTTTACATTTTTTATTGAACGACTCGTGCAGAACATTTTTTTTTACTTTTATGGAATTTTAAATTCTTTTTATCTATATTAGTTACAGGTATTATTGATAGATATTAATAATACTGATTGATATTACTAACATATTTTACTAATTTGTATACTTCCATTGCAAATCAAGCTTACTGTATAAACTTTTCCTGACTGTTTTCATGTCTTCCCTGAAAATAGATTTTCTTTATGCCACTTGTTTGCTAAATAGCACTTTGACTTTTACATGCATTTAAGTAATTTTATATAAGCACAGCTAAATTGAACTGAATTTTCTAATCCATTTATGTACACGTGTAATGTCGTCTCTGCTCATAAATAATTAATGAATGTTCTAAGGAGAAAGGCTTGTTAAATGACACTCAGCAAATTTGTTGCCTGATGTAGAGGCTTTTTAGGCCGTTTTACTAACACTTTACATACCTATAAACCCATGAGATTGACAGCGGAAGCTTTTCTAAACCACTGCTACAATCTGAACTCATTAAGACCCCAGCCAGCATCCCCCCCACCTCTGAAGCTGAGAAAGATATGAATATAGGCAAAAGAAGGTCCTTCTGAGGCCTATTATGGGATAATAAATATATATTTACATAAAACTAAACATATACACATAAATAATTTATTGTTTTCTTATGCAACACCATAATAAAAAAAAGGATATGAGAGATTATATATCATAGCTATTGTAGTATCAAATATTCAAAGGGTAAACATCAGGTTTGTTTTAAAACTGGGAATCTCCACTCACAATTATTTCTACCCACTTTCCATTTGGCCAGCATTTTAGATAAACCATCCTGGCAATTAACCTTTATTATACAAAACGATATTTCGTTTTGACTCTGTGTATACAAAATGACAATAAAAGTTGTCTAATGTCTATTACATTAATAACACATTTATTTTTGGTGTTTGGTAACAATTTATTTTTTTTTTTTTGCTGAATGAAAATAAAAATAATCTAAAATCCATTCTGTTGTTTTTAACTACTATCCCTACTCTACAAACTGCAAATGTCTAATTATTTTTCTGTCAGTGAAGAGTACATCTACCCGGCCCAAATAATGATGGTGGGTTTTTTGGAGGCACTTGTTCTTGAGTTATCAGTACATTGCATTTACAGATTTGGCCTATAAAATCTGCTTGTCAGGCTTCCTTGACAACAGTCATTTAAATTAGCACTTAGAAGAAGAATCCCCCCCCCCCCCCCCCCCCAAAAAAAAAAAACACAAACACACACTTGTAAATCATTGCTGTGGCAGCCTTTTGTTTACCCAGCAGAAAAAAAACTCTGAAATGTTGACAGGATGACAGACAAGATATGATTGGTAAACAGTGAGAGTGCTGCGACTGGTTAACGGTTAGCCTCTTAAAATGCCAAATATGCCATGTGCTCCACCTGTCAGTACAGAGATAAAAAAAAAAGCTTTTCCCTTAATATAATCAGTCAGACATCATTTGATTATCTATGGTTAAAAGAAAGCTGTATAACTGTTACTGATTAAAACTGACTTAGAAAATTCTATGCCGAGCAGTGATGTTTTAAAATATAGAATCTTTATTCTCAACATGACACCCTGCTGAAAATACATACAGACACAAATTAAAAACACTTACTCGCAAAAAAAAATGTCCGTTTAAAGCATGCTTACAAATATAAAACACCATTTAGAAAAAATATTAAAAATATTGAACACCCGTTTAGCACTTCAAAGATATAAATTATCTCTAAAAATGTATTTATTTATGGCATCTTTACTAATTAATTAAAATGACGATTATGAGTTGGGAAACCTTTTGAATGAGAAAAACGCTATATATTAGAAGCTTCTATTGATACAGCAGCCAATTTCCTGCCTGTCACTCTGAAGGACATACAGATGAGAGTGATGAGAAGACACTGCTATAGCAGCGAAAACACAAAGCTGCTTTTTTAAAATCCAAATTTCAGTTTCTGGCAATCAGAGGTGAAGAGATGAGATGATGCTTCTTCAACATTTACGTCATAACAAATCAGGATAAAGAAACAGAACAATTACCAAAGTAAAGGTAATGTGGTTGTCACGAATAGCAGAGGAGGTATTAGAAGATTCAGCATCGCATCTTGTTTGTATCACCTTGGGTCTCTGTCACCATCTTCTCAAATAAAATACATTTTCATGGCATCAAAAGGGAATCAATGTGACCAATTACATTAGATTTATATAAACATTTGTACATCAAAATGGTGTCTCATGACGAAAGCACACCCATTAGTAGGAGGTGTATTGTTGGATTTTTGTCAGTAAGGCACGTCTGTGTTTCTCATTGACAGTAGTGTTCATCAAGCTGGGAAAGCAGCAGGGTGGAATAATCTAATTAGTAGCACATGTACAACTGAGGTTCTCTATATAAGCATCAGAAATATCTGGTACCAAAAATAGTGATTATATTTGTATAATATAAATAACAATATAAACAATATAAATAGTATTATATTTGCTTACTGGTATAGAGTTCAAATGTATCTACATATTTCACTTTTTCTTTAACAAAAACAATTTCTATCCTTACTCAGAATCTGCCTTTAAAGGTAGAGAGGAGGATGTTCTTTTTCCAGATTGATAATAAAAAATAAGTGTTTTTCCAAATTGTTATTATAGTGCTTCGTTTCTGCGCATGGGCACTTTCAGGTGCATGTGTGGTAAGCTACGGTTTCAGCCAGTAATTAAAGCTCGCCGAGGGTCGTAAGAGAAAAATTGTTTACGAAGTGCATGAGAAGAAAAGAAAGGCCTCAGCAGAGAAAAAACAAGTGTTTTTGGGAGATTCTTTAATGCGATGACGTACACACTGAAAGCACAGGTCGAGGGGTCAAGTTTGGCATGCTATTTGGAGAAATCCATTTTACATTCCTGCTAGTAAAATGAAGAGAAATGCACTTGTGCATGCTCTCGCATGTGTTTAATAGGCATTCCCTCTTAGGAGCGGATACAGGGTTGTGCATGTGCATTTTTTTTAAAGTGGAATTTTCAAAAATTTGCAAAGATCCTCCACAATACCTTTAAGAATAGCTTTTCCTGATATTCCAGCATTTACTACTCTAGTTAATCTTGTAACTTTTCCTCCATGATGGGCTTTGGATAGATTTATGATATTACTACAAACCTAACCGCGGGGAATATACTGGGCTGATTACAGCTCGCGATTTACGAAAACAAAAATAATTCTTGTTGGAATTTTCTGTCTTTCTGTCCAAGTAATTGATATGGGTTGTCTGAGTAGTTTTCATGAGCTCACTTTAAATCAGCATGCAGATGAAACAGAAAGACTTTTGTAATTCTTATGGCTTAACAGCTTTGAGTAAAAATTCATTTAATGATGCCCTGCATTACGTTATCTGAGGCAGAGCATTTTTATAGTCAAGACACAGAATAGGAATGTCATCATGAAATAAGAAAAAAAAAAGCCAAGAGAAATAAAAGCTTATTCAACTAAAGTGAGAGCAACACACACACACACAAAGAGGCTGACCCTTGAGGTGCAGTTTCTGTGGTAATGTGCTTTAGATTGAGGCTATGTGTGCAGAGATGATGGGCCCAGTAACAGATGGGCAGGAGTCTATTCCCTGGGCTACCAGCCTTCTGCTTACTACATCGCCCTGCCAGCTCTACAGTCCTCATCCATCTTCTGCACCCCCAACCCGATCTCCTTTGACATCCCATTTCATTTCTATTGTTTCTCACAATCCACTCGGTTTGCTCGGTTCACCCACACCTCCTCATCCCTCCATCATAGCTCCTCTCACCTCTTCTTGACCAGCTCCCCCATATTCTCCTCTCCTACTAAATCACTCCTGGCAAGAAAGCCTTGCTTGCCAGAGCAAGGCATAATCAAATGATTTCTCATGTTTAAGCAACCGTCTGGGAAACCACTGTTTCTTTCCTCACCTAGCTACATCAGCTGTGCTGGGCCACTAGCCAGTGGCCAAATCCCCGGCAAACAGCCACATGTTGCAATGCAAACTCACAACTTGGTGGGCCAAATCCTTAGAAAGGTCTCTCTGCAAGGAGACTGTAGACATTAGATTAACACCCTCATTCTGGCCAGGAAGCGGAATGATTACAGCAAGCTGGAATGCTCAAATACCCCTGAGCCAACAGACTAGCTGGCCTTCACTGCGACCAGTTCATGCTTGGTTGCACTCCAAAGGACTATAAAAAGAACAGCTCACTGCAGCCTGATGTGGAAGGTGGGGTGTGGCTTTGTTCCATTGTCGAAGAGCGGTAAGAGGACGCACGTGTCCAAATGAATAAAGGGAGCCTGTCCCTGTGTTCTTACCTCTGATAATGGCCAGCTTTGCAGTGATGGCGATGTCTCCCTGGTTGTTGCGTGCCACACACTCGTAGACGTTCTCATCTCGAGGAGCTCTAAGAGGCTGGATCCTCAGCACGGCTCCAGCACCTTCATCAAACTCTATGGTCTGGACAGCCACAGGATTCACAGAGCAGGATATATTAGTCAGAGCAGAGTAAGCATTAAAACTTTAATTTGTATAAAAGGAACTATATTTTCTTCTGATCAGAGAATAATACTTCTATAGCACTGCTATCCTGATTTTGTTTCAGTAAGTTATCAAGATAAGTTATGTACCAGTAAAATGTGCTTCAGAGCCTGGTTATTAGCTTTCTTAAACACTGTGAATCCAAACCACTTTGAAATTAATCTTTAGAAAACAATTAAGTCACATTCCTGCAATAAACCTAAAATGAGAATCTCCTTGGATGACTCCCTTGTTTGCATCATTTAGCTTTTTACAAATATGTGTGCTTTCAAATTAAAGGTGAATATGATCTTGGGTGAAATTCAAATAGTACTGTGTGAATTTGAATTACCTCTTTCTAATCATTATTTGAAAATAATGTGCAGTTTATTCACACTGTTTGACTGAAGGTAGCTGAGAAAATTGTTATCACTCCCATTAATCTGTCATACTGAAGTAATGGAGTCATAAGTTTACTTTAGCAGCTAGATTACACTGCAGGCCTCATTCTGCTCAAAGTAGAAAGTAATTAATTTATCCGGACCTGTAAAGGTTACCAATTACCACTCTAAAGGTCCATCTTTTTAAAAGAATGCTTCCTGCTTCACAATGACAGAAAAGCCAAAGCAGCTCAGGAATGAAACCTTAAACCTCAGTTAAAATCTGCAAAATGATTTCATTGTTGTGCGTTTCGTATCATTCTGTCTGAAATGCAGCTTCCTTTTTAAAGAGTTCTTTCTCATGAAGACTGCACATGACTAAGAGCACTAAATGGGTACAAGCCATAGTTGTTTTGTTTGTCTACTTCTGAAAACTGAAAGGAGAGCTGCTCCTAAAAATGGTTCTAGCAGCGCTATATAAATATTTATCTTCAGGGCAGATTAATTTGGATTCTGAAATATAAACATAGTGTGTGATGTCTTTGTAAATTTTCAGTCAGTGTTGAAACATCTTCAGAAAAACTAAGCCAAAGCTCACTTTGCCTCTGATTTAAGCCTGCTTTGTGATATTCAGTGATTGTAATGATACCAGTAGAAGGTTGGGTTAAAAAGGCATCATACAGCAGAAGGAAGAAATCCTTTTCTTATTTAGTAAGTGAAAATAACAGCATGCTATCAAGATAATAGCATTATAGCAGAAGTTAGTACACTGCAAATTAAGGTATTATAGTTAGATTCCTTTTTATCTTCAACCACTTTGTTTTAGCCCCAATTAAATCAAATTAAGGGACAAATTGAAGCACTATTAAAAGCTTCCATCCCAATCTCTTGTCATGTATATTTGATGATCAGAAAAAGCATTTTCTATTGCTCTACACATGATAAATGAAGCTACTTGTTAGACATTAAGTCCTCTCACAGTTGTATAGAATGCATGTGTTTGCTTATTGTGATATAAGACTGAGTAATGTCTTTATAAGTTCATTGCTGCAGCCCTGGAACAGTTTAAGCTTAAAGTTTGTGGACCTTCTGCTTCAAGTTTAAGTTTATTGGCACTAGTATGGCAGATCTAGTGCCAATAAACTTTCTTTAACATCTGGAAATGCTGGAGAGCAGAATGCAAATTGTGACTGGCATAGGTTGTAATTGCTTTGCTGCCCTGTTGAAAAAAAGACATATCTTTAAATAGATGAAAAAATATGTGTGTGATTGAGCATTGCAATCAACAGCGTTTGAGTGTTAAAAACATCTATCTCTTCTGTTGATTTAGAAACACGCTTCATGGGTGTTCTAAAGGCGTAGCTCCTACCCCATTGTCGCGTGTAATTCTTAAGGTTTTGAGGAGAGCTTCAATTTTTCTTTAATTTATCACCTTTGCTCTTTGCTTTGCTTGTGGTAGAAAAGAGGACTATTTGCATTAAATATCTGAAACAAAAATAAAGCTGACAGCCACAATCATGCACAGAATCAAATGGAACAAACTGTGTAACTTTGTTAAATATTGGCTTTGAAGTTAAAGATAGCATTGAAAAATTGCAAGACAGTTATGCTCCCTTATATCAAGGTAGGCCAAAGCATCCGTTTGTTAGGAATAAAGCAAAAATTCTATGTAAGAACTTAGACAAGACTGTTAAAAATCCTGGATAAGATATGGCTTTTCTGGCGGCTTTTCAGTTGGGCTTTGTAACTGCAGACCCGACACTTTACATGCAAAATACATGAGTATCAAGGTAAGATGGAAAAAATATTCCTTAGAATGCTGCCAGATTTTTATTTATTCATTTTCTGCTTCAGTCAGAACTATCTGAGAATCCTAATCAAGTGAAGGAACTAGCTTCATGTTTACTGAATAAACATGAGAGCATCTCTGTGTTTCACAGCTTGAACTTTTCAATTAGCTTAAGTGCACATGTAGCATATAAAGCTGCAAAATACTAACCAGAACTTTTTAGAGTGCATTATATATTCTGCAAACATGTTACTCATGTAAAATCCCAATTAAAAACAAATTGCAAATATTGTAAAAATTGCAGAGTATTGAAATATAAATATGGCTACAGGAGAAAAAAGTCTGTAGATATTTTTGATATTGTCTAATATTACATACCCTGAAATTTCAAAAATTACTGAGTCGACTCTCCACATTAGTGATTTGTTCATCCCAATCTCCTTCATTGCAAAAAAAATCCATCACCAATGTGTGCAGTATCCCCAGATGGTTCTTAAACAATGATTCATTCTCAGGATTTCAGTGAATTAAAGGATGATATCATCAAGACTGCAACCTACGTCCAGTCAGAACATTTCCTAGTTGCTAAATATTCCACTTTCAGTTGTAGGCAGTTTTATAATCAAGTTTCATGTATTAGATGCATCAAGCCCAGTGAACATGGTAAGAAAGAACAAGCAAGCCCACTGAGAACCTTTGCCATCTTGACTAGAATGAGGACTGGTAAAAGCTGTCTATAGTTGAAATAAATGTTTTGATTTGCATTATATAGCAAATGTACCTTACTGCGGTAAACAGTACAGCATTTTTTTTTTTTTCTTACAACTTGGTGCTCAGCAACTTTTAGTGGGTTTCTTAAAAAATTTAACTGGGTTTGGGTTATGGATCAAAAGTGGTTCCAAGATTTTGAATCCCTGCCCTTTTTATTATTAAAGGAACAGTACACCCAAAACATGATTAGCCTTCATTTTCTACTCACCCCCATGCTGAACAACACTCTGGAGTACTTTTTTGATATCTCAAATGCATCTGGAGATCTGGGAGGCTTCTTGCTGTCTGCTGACATTCAAATAATGGAGGTCTATGGCGCCCGAGGCAGAAAGGTCCAAAAAAGTCCACAAAAAACGTGTCAATATTCCTCCATACTGCTCGTCCAATGTATTCCAAGTGTCCTGAGTGGGTAGCATCCAGAATTTACTCGAAACGAAGTCATTTAGAATGTTTTTAGAGCATAAACAGTAGTGTATAGGATTTCCTGAAAGCGCGCACCTGCGCGTTCACAACGCTACGGAAGCCGGCAGACCAAACCAGATGAAAGTGCGCATTCAGCGTCTGCTCTGCCAATAATGCAAGCGTAGAAGAAGAAATGTGCTGTTTACCTGTGCAAAGAAAGAAACAACCAAAGAAAAATGTCTGAGGACTTCAGTGTTGAGGAAGAGCATGAGTTCTTTGCCGAGCTGAATGCGCACTTTCATCTGGTTTGGTCTGCCGCGGTTTCCGTAGCGTCGTGAACGAGCTTTCAGGAAATCCTATACTCTACTGTTTATGCTCTAAAAACATTCTAAATGACTTCGTTTCGAGTAAATTCTGGATGCTACCCACTCAGGACACTTGGAATACATTGGACGAGCAGTATGTTGGAATATTGTAACGTTTTTTGTGGACTTTTATGGACCTTTCTGCCTTGGGCGCTGTGCACCTCCATTATTTGAATGTCAGCAGACAGCAAGAAGCCTCCCAGATCTCCAGATGCATTTGAGATATCAAAAAAGTACTCCAGAGTGTTGTTCAGCATGGGGGTGAGTAGAAAATGAAGGCTAATCATGTTTTGGGTGTACTATTCCTTTAAGCTTCTCAGAACAACACAGAGAATAGAATCATAGCCCTTTCTTTAAACTCTGGAAAAGCAAATAAAAACTACTAGATATATTGTAAATAATATTTTGAATAATAATTCCTTAGATATAAAAATAAAATAGTATATCATTTTTTGTTTGTCAATTAGATTTTTTTTGTCTTGTCTATTTACTTTTTATCCCTCTATAATTATATAGACCCTAACAATACCCCAAACAAATTCTTCTTAAAAATAGAAGCCAAAGTGTACTTATTCTTGACTAATCTAAATTAAATTCCGAAAACTATTCAGGAATCTCCACATTCATCCTAAGAACAATAATAATAATAAAAAAATCAGTTTGAAGAAAATAATATTTTATTACTATTATGTCTTTGCTTTATAATCCTGCTATTTGTTTCAGGTAGCTTATTCGTGCTACAAATATTTATACATAAATACTCTTTATATACAGAAATACTGTAGATATTAGGCAGTGATGTGGGCTGACATTGTGCATTGTGACAACCACCTCGATACGCTGGGAGTTGACCTTCTTGCCCTTCTTGTTCCAGTAGACGACTGGCTTGGGGTTGCCAGTGGCCTGGCACACAAATGATGCCACACCCCCTGACACTCCAATCTGGTCTGTGGGAATTTTGGTGAACCTCGGTGGAGCTGAAAGAAAGGGAAGAGACAGAGGTGAGAGAGGGAAAAAAGAAGGACAAGAGAAAAATGCAAGTATGAAATCCACATCTTAATATTTAGATGATATCAAATCAACTGCTAAAACCAGGAGTAGGAACCCCTCCTCCTCCTGCAGAGCCCCGCCCCATCTCCCTTTCAGGGACTGGTCAGACTGAACTGTGTCCTGACGGCTGCGCCATTGTGCTTACTTCCTGGGTATCATCTAGAGGACAAGCTGAAGGACTTCCTGTGGGTCATAAATAAAAGATGGGGCTGGGCTTCAGAGGAACATCTCTCTCTCTTTACAAACCCGTTACCCCCCCTTTCTCTCCGGCAGGGCAACACAGAGCTGTATGCAGCACAGGCTGTCATCCCACATGAGTGTTTCACAGGTAGGAGAAGTGTTGGCTGAAGATTCACAGCATGTAATTGGTTTAAATGTATAAATACCAGAGGCGTGATTTTTGTTCCTGCAGAATGCCACTCACCTATGGGAGGATTTGGAAATGTGGAGTATTCTGATCCTAAATATCCCACCAACACTTCTGTATTTACTTCCTGCTCGACGGATCAATTCAGCAGGACGTTTTCTGGGATTACATAGGAATGTGCTATTTTTTAAGGTATTGCAGTTGCCCTCTGCAAGAAAACAGCAATTTCCAAGTGTGATATTGAACCAACAGTACTAAACCTACACTTTTCGCAGCAGCTGAGTCAGACTGGTAAAACAACCTCACGCATCCACCCCTAGCTATCTGTATGTGGCCTGTTGCCATGGTGCCCAGCTTAACTCCTCTTCAGCTGCCGAATCGTTGCTATCCATCAGGGCGAAGTCAGGATGACCCTTGCCATAGCAACCTGAATCCCTCCTCCCCTGCGTCTAGGTGGGCGAGGTCATGCTGTGCTGATTGAAGACACAGCAGCCATGAAAACACAAATAATATTAAAAATAAAATTAACACTCTTCTATCAAACAACAGGAAGATAGTGGGTCTAATTCTTTTCCCACTCATTTCTCTTTTAAATGGACAGACGAAACACTTTGAAGTTTTCTCTACAAAGCCTCGACGAGAGACGGAAAAACATCATGACAAAAAAACCTTCTCCTTTGCTTGCTGCATCCTGTGTTTGGCATGTCAGATATAATGCGGTTTCATTTTATGCTTGCCATAATCCTGAGCAGTAAGGAGCATAAAGCACATAGTGAGTAATCTGACTGAACAAATTTATCCTCGACGTATTTAGACGCAGGAACAGGATATTTTCTGCCTATTAGACCCACAGACATAAACACAACTGAATGCAAGTTGCACCATTTCCCTGCCAATAATAAAGCAGGGGGTAATGGCAGAAAGAGCCTTCCTCCTATTGGATTATGAATTATTTCCATGTTAGTCTCAGGGTTTGAACACGCTCGTATGTTGGTCGTATGTTTGGCTTTGTGTTGAGTCCAAAATATTTTCTATGTTCTCTTAAACGCACTTTAGCACCAACCCTTGAGCAAAACTGATCCCACTGGAACAACTTAAGCCTCTTCTGACAGCCGGGAAAAAGCCCTACAAAGCAGAGGCTCTGAATGGATTTGCACTTAACAGAAACTTGTTATGATCTCGATGTTCCTGGGAAATAAAGGCCTAATAAGGACCTCTGTCTTTTTTAATAAAAGGTTTCACTCCACTGCCAAGATCTACTGCTGACGGCCAACTGGTTAGATGTTAATGGAACACCTTTGTGACTTGTAATCACTCTGGTGAGTGACTGACAACTGCTGAGCTCAGAGGTAACAGGGTACAATGTCTTAGTGTTTCTGACACGCCAAGTGACAAAAACGTAATTGGAACTTGGAAATTCTCCTCAGGTCGGCCTATAATCAGTCGATGTACTGTAGTTTTTCTTACAGAAATGTTCAGTTAGATAATATCTTCCGGTCAAATGTTTAATTTTGTTCTACCTTAAATGACAGTACTTAAGGCAAATGTATTAAGAGCAGCCAGCTTTGGTCTCACAAGCCTTTAAGCTAGTTTTAATAATGTATCCTCTCCTAGTTGTGCCTCTCTCCTGTCAAACTTGTTTTCATCTCCTGCTCAAAGTGCCAAAAAAAGAGGAAAAATAAATCATTTGGTATAAAGATAATAAAGGCAACTGAAGTGTAGCAATTTATGAGAAATATATTTTTACAAGGATAATTTGGTATGAGGAAGTTAAATTTAGAGATACTATAAATAAAATAACCATGCATTTTTGCAGACTGGGTTGGATTAAATTCAAAGCAGTAATCGGAAATAGTTAATTGAGATGACTGATAATATGCCTAATGTTGACAAAAATGTTAATTAAGTCTCCATATTAAGGGATATCAAGAGGTTGGAAACAAAGACTTTTATCAGGAGCATAAAGATTAATCTGATTGGATACCTAAGTGGGCTTGGATCAAGCAACGTGAAATCAAAGGGGAATTATATTGCAAAATCCATTTTTTTAGCTTACAGTTTTGTTTTTGTACTTCAAGTCTAACTTCTCAGAAATATTTAATTTAGTCTTATTGGCTCCTGTTTTGGATACATATTTAGATGCTGCTCAGTTTTCTCCTTTTTTCCAGTACGTTTTGTTCAATGTGGCAGTATTTGTTGTGGAACTGCTGAAGATTTTTTGGTTTATAATTCACTATTTTCATATTTTTGGTCTAGGTTGATTTGGTTTCTGGGTTTATTAACCAAACCTATTGCTGTAGTTTTGGAGCTCTGTATTTCCTGATTACATTTAATTTTACATAGAAACTTGCATACATCAGTGGGATAAGTCCTCTTTGTTTATGTCAAGAAGTTGAGGAGAGGAGTGCTTTAGCCAGTATAAAAAAGGAGTAGCTGAAATACTTTGTTTATTTGAGGACTCAGTTTTTTCTATCTATTAAAAGACTGGTAAAAGGGCAACAAGCTCTATTATAGGTGCATTAATATAACTAATTGCTCCGATAGCACATCATTGTGCCTTCAGCTTTTGTTTGTTTTGTGACACCGTTTTAGCTCCCTCAGGACCTTAATGTGTGTTCTGAATAAAGATATTACACAAACCAGTTTGAAATCTGTTGGGATGCCATTTTTGTCTTGGTGAGCACAGGCTCCGAATACAGTCAGTGATGTTCTTGGTGGTAGCATTGGATAACTTGTTAATTAAGTTGGGGTACAAGTATATAACACTTGTTCAACATTACAAAATTTTTATTTTCACCGTGTACCTACTGTTTGTTAATTTTTTTTTTTTTTGTGACGCTTGGCTCAGAATGCATGTTTATAAAACATAGACATGATTAATAATAGTGTTGCACCGATACCGATACCAGTATCGGACGGGGCCCCGATACTGCCCTAAAATGGTGGTATCGGTATCGGCGAGTACCAACAAATAGGGCACCGATACCATTTTGTTCTACTGGATTCACTTTGTATTAGATTTTTTCCTGCTTCACAAAGGTAGGCAGCAGCTTGACAAAGCCATGATGGCAATTATTTTACATAATTATGGTATCGGTATCGGCCGATACTGCACAGTTATGTATCAGGTATCGGTATTGGGGCCAAAAAATGGCATTGGCGCAACACTAATTAATAATAATAATAATTTTACTTTATTGATCTCACATTGGAGAAATGTACCTCTGATTTAAACCATCCCCTTGGGGAGCAGTGGGCTGCCATTGTGGGGCGCCAAGGGAGCAGTGTAGGGTTAAGGGTCTTGCTCAGAGACCCAGAGTGGCAGTCTGTGGGAGTGGGGCTCAAACTCAGAACCTCAGGATTCCAAGCTCTATGCCCTAACCATTAGGCCACCACTATTAGAAATTACATTAGAAACACATTAGGAACAACTGAGCACCCTTACAAGTCTTTAGAAAGACCCTTGACTTTTATATTCAACTGATCATTGTGGGAGAACAAAAAAAATTATTTACTGCTCTGTTTTTATTAAACAACATAAGTTACTACTCACAAATTGATATAAGCTCAGTTATTTATTATCTTCGAGCAGCAAGTCAGCAGTAAGCTGTTTAACAAGTATGGCAAATGCAGCTTGCAATCGTTTTTTTCAGCAGTATGTTAGTTAGATTAATGGGTCATAGTCCTATAGTTCCCATGCCATGATTGTCAGTATCTTTTGCATTCTTTTTTAAGGTAAAAGTAAAGAAGCAAGCAGTGCACAGCAGCAGGTTTTAGTGTAGGCAAACCCTCCCACTTTCTGGCACTTAAAAGACTGTCATTTAAAGATCTTTGAAAAGGTGTGATATTGTTTTAGCTATTTTGAAAACCTACCAAGGTTAAACCTTGGTATTCGGATATTGATACCAGAACTCTCCTGTGGCTTACTTAAAATGATTCAGGTTTAAACCTTTAATATATACACAAGTCAAACTTAGACTGAATTATTTCCATAAAACAATGTATTTTGTGAAACTTTTTATGTATTTTTAGAAAAAAAATTGTATTTCTTGATCTCATGAATTAATTATTATGTACTGTCTCATTTAGAGAGCTGGATGTATCATTACGCCCCAGCTAGTATCCCATGTTGGATAGACAGGAGGAGAATTGGGGGGGGAAAAAGCACTTTTTCCAATTTCAAATGTCGTTAGGGTTTAGCTCCATATTTAGCCCTATATCTTATCTCTCATCAAAAAAAAATATTCAGCTTGGTGACATTTTCAGAGAAGTGATAGCCAAGTCTGGCTGAAAAACTGTTCGTGTGCATGTGTGTGGGGTATGTGTGTGTCAACCACTGAGGCAGGAAATGTGTTGAGATGTTGTAATCAAGAAGATGATGAGAAACATGCTGATGGGACCTCCCGCCTTATCAAAACACATTAACAATGCCACAGTTCAGAGCTGATTTACTGACAGGCCGGGATTCTCTTCTCAAATGACACCCACAGAGCATGCACATGTACTTACACTTTTATGTAAAAGCATGTTTTTGTACATCTCATTTATTGTTTGACTTTCGTATGCTGGAATGAAAAGGGAAAAATGGAAAAAAGAGAAAAGTATAGTAGATCACTCTTCATACCTAGTGCTTGACACACGCTGTTCCAAGGCCTGGTAAGGAGGATAATCAAAGGCAGCAGCAGACACAAGGGAGAAGGACAAAGGCAGTAGCCAAGGATGGGTCGCCTGGACTGGGCCAAAGCTCTGTCTGGCTTACACGAAGGCATGGCACCGTCGCTGAGTTGGTTGACGACTAATATGCAGGTACGGATTTACTCATCAGGGGTAGGCACTCTGCAAACAGAAAAAGACGATGGTCAAGCACATTTCTGTGGTATTTAATTCACTGCTCTTAATTTCAGGGCTGAATATCTTCAACCTTAATGCATCATGAGGTTAGTGTACAAGAAATATTTATTCTGCAAGAGTTATCAGTATGAATATCAAAGGAAATGTTATGCAAATGTGGGATTAGGATTTTTGATTTAAGCCTTGGCACTTCTGACCTCTGAGATTAGAAGCTCAACCAGGCTGTCTGATGGAACTAATGCCAGAACAATAAAGCCACCACTCAATAGCTATGGCAAGAAATTGAACAAAACAGTTTTCAGCATACTGCCTCTGTATTAATAAGTCTCCTTCTCTAGTGAGCCATGAAATGAGCTGCAATGATACAGATTTAAGCATCCTTTTTCCCCCTTTAGACACCCTAATAATTTCATTTTGGCTTCTGCTTAATTCCCTCTCAGCGTTCAGTATTTCAGCGTTCTGCCGGCACACACAAGTGTTAATGCAGTAATTTATCAAGAGTATGTGACAGTAATGGAAAACATTTAAACAATAAGGGTTTGGAGGTCAGTAGGAATGCAACAAAATTCAATTGAAAGTGAATGAAATACTGCTGCTTAATACATCTGCAACCCCTCCTGATAATCCAAAGTCTTTGGGGGCGTTAGCATTGGTATTTTACTCTCCACGCTCACGTAAACACATCTACACAGAGCCACACACATCTGGAAGCCCCAACATAAATCAGCTCTGTCTGCTCAGTGCTCACAGAGATTTGGACAAGCTGTGCCGAAGCTCGGCATCAGCGAGTCAATAACTCCTCAGTCTTATCGAGCTCTCCGGTCCCCCACCCCTCATCAAAAGATGTGTCAGAGCGCAGGTGGGGAGGCCAAATGAGAAAGGGGCCTTTGTTGACCTGTCATACATCACATGCATATATTCTTGTTTTCAAATAGCAATACAAGATAACATATATGCCCCTAGGGAGAAATAATGCAGGTGACAGGTCAGGCTGTGATCCCCATATAAACAGATATACATTAAAAACTGGCTTGTAATAGGGATCAGATAATTTTAATCTTGCTTGGCCTTGGCCCGTGGAACTTAAAAAGCAATTTTTCCAAACCATGTAACACATGCTACTGGGTCACGCAATGGACAGCGCCCTTTGGTTGTAGGAAGTCGTTCTTTAGGGGATTTATAGCATTACAAACGTGTAAAAAAAAATGAAATCAGAGAAGGCAAATACATGTAAGGATCTACGTAGAACTGTATTCTTCACAATATCTTAAGACTTGTCTGAGCTTCACTCAGACCACAAAAACTGTGAGACTTTCAGAAGATAAAAGGAAGGCCAGAGTACAGCACAGTCACTCCTTTTTATCCCTTTGCTCCAATGGCATAACGACACAACAAATAGGGCCAGTAAGCAACATTATCAGGGTGGGCCCCATATAAAGTACAACACGTGATAAAGGTTCAGGATACGGCAACAGTTCCATAAATCGTCCAAGAAGATACAATAATGCAATTCTCAGTAGTATATGATCACACATCACAACTGAAAAAATAGTGACTGCGCACCTAGAATGGAACCATTGCTGACAGCGACCCACCACATGTTATAGACATCTCAAGTTCCAAAAACTCTTTTCAGGGAGATGCTAATCCATCCTCCCCTCACCAATGTTCTCTCCATTCATCTCCTGGTCGCAATCTTTACTCACTGTAGCAGCAACGTCCACCTTTCCCTCTTTGGTTCTTTAAAAAAAAAACAGTTTTTTTTGGGAAGTTTTTTCCATTCTTCCAGCAGTTCCTCTTTCCGCTTAAGTACCTGATTTTGGTATCCATCGTGGCTAACACATTGTATGTAACGGTTATGGTTTCAATCTACACTCTGGGTAACCAATAATTCCAAGTCTAAATGTAAAAAATAAAATACTCAAATACATCGTTCTTTTAAGATATTTATTTGCGGTTTGAAACATATTACATGAGCATATTTTTAACCAACCGTCTAATGAACTATACACAGTTATTAATATAGCAACTAAAAGTACCACCGTCTGCTTTGCTATTCGTGACGTGTTTAAACGGCTCACCATCATGTTGAAATCTGGCATGTGTTACGGTATAGATATGGTCCGATGCGGTCAGTCACTTCAGTATCAGGTGTGTTTAAGATGAATTTTTCACACCATTACATCTGCATAGAGACGTCCTACTCTAGAATTGCGTAGGGGACCCACCAGGTGTCAGTGATGGGGCCCCTAAGAAGTCATGGACCCATAAGCAGCTGCTGTCTCTGCTTACCAATATATATGCCATTGCTTTGCTCCATCAAACAACAGAGGCAGAGAAAGTAATGGCTTCTTTGGCACTGAGTGGCTTTTCAGCCTGGTTCACTAAGAACTCATTTGACTGTGGATAAAATTATCAACCTACACGTTTCAGAACTTGTTCACGCTCTAGATATTGGCAACCTTATAAAAACACTTATTTTGCACTTATTTTGTCCTCGAGTCGGGATTCAAACCAGGGACAGCTGAGTCGAAAAACTGTGGTACATGGATCTCATGTTCTACCGCTGCACCATAGACAGCCCCTTTTTAAAATTCAGAATGTCAGTTCTTATGTCATTATGTCTCATTGTATCGAGCGAATATGAACTAAATAAGTACCTCCAGATCAAAGATTGGCAAAATATTTCTAAACGATGCATTTTAAAATAAATATGTGCAACATTAAGGGCTGCTTTGTCAATGACTTTCCCCACATACTGATAGAAACAGAAGAGCATCAGTGGCTGCTTTGCTTTATGAAAAACAGGGCCTCTATAATCAAAGATTCCTCCAACCTCTTATTGGGCTAATGACCTGCTCAAACATATTACTGTCTGCCTTCTCCGAAACTAAAAATAGCTTAGCTGAAAATACGTCTATCTGATACAGGCTCTTATTCTTGCCACTCTTCCCTCGCCTTATCTAACACCGGGTAATAGCAGCTGAATAGAAAAGCTTTCTCCCTCTCAATTGAGCATGATAAGAAAAATCAGATCACAGCTCATTCAGCCGCCATTGGCAGCATGTTAAGTAAATTCTCTGCTTACAGAAACTCAATTTTCCCTGCATTAATCTAAGCAGGGTCACTGTTCTGCACACAGCAACATGGCCACTGAAACATTAGGTGCACCCTGTGTGTTCCGGTGCTTGTCTGGTTCATCTCGTTTGCTGGGTTTGCCGCATCCTTAATGTCTTTCCCTGACCCATTTCTGATCCACAGGATCGTTTTCAGTTTATCCACTCCTCCTTGTTGACTTTCACCTGCTGGCAAACCCTCTTTGCTATCTCTCCTCTTTAGTCACATATCCTTCAAAGTAATCCCCAACATCTTCCTCCTACATGGCACCCTGGCATTAGACTCTATGTTCCTGAAATCTCCTCTTCCCCTAGTTTCTTTCATCCCTTTTCACTTCCCGCCCATCCACTTCCTCCTCGCCCTCCTTGTTAACCTCTCCTCTCTTGATGCCGTCTTCCTCTGCAATACCCTATCATTCATTTCTTTTGCTTTTTTTATAGACAGTCTAATCCACACTCGTATGAAAATCCTCTTCCTCTCCCCAGCTGTCCTGCACCGGCTGCTCCAGCTGCTGTTGGTCCATTGACACATTTAAAACAAAAGGACTTACCCCATCCTACAGCTGTGGATGATGAGAGAAGATGCCAAAACAGACTCGCAGATGCAGCAGCAGAGCAGACCAGTCTGGGCATGTCTCCACAGCATTAATAGCATTAAACACTGCGAGCGCAGCAGGCTCATCCTCTCAGGACACAAATATAAAGAACAATAACTCACTTGGCTTGCTTGCATAAGCAGAGTTAAAGTGAGTAAGCATTGAGAACATGGAAATCCTCATGACTCAGGTCTACTGGAATCTTTGCAGCCAACAGCCCCCCCAACATACTACAAACTGCTCCCTGTGATCATCTGGCTCAGCATCCAGAGAGCAGACAGCGGGGGTTGGTCTTATTACCTTTTTCAGTGTAGCAACACAGATGGTCAGCCTGACAGATAGATTGATGGGGGATACATGCTGCTGTTTATTGCGGGGAAGTAGATAATGACACCCCAGCTCAGGTGGTGCAACGTACACCGCTTATTGTGCTCCATCAGGCTGATGAAATAACATTGTTTAGGTGGCATCCAAGCTGCCCCTGCTCCACTGGGGCCCTACTCGGAAGATAACATGTTTTGTTTTTCCCTTCACCTTGTCCCCACCCAGCGCTTCAACCCCCAACCTTACCCACTGATGCCTCTCACCACAAGTGGGATGATCTCACAAGGCATGTCGCCATGACGACAAGCAATGAGCGCTCAGAGAAAGATCAGATCTGTATCTTACGGCACCCTGCTATTGGTGAGAAAGTACCATTGATAATTGTACCTTTTGTTCCTATGAATTATTTTAGAAATAAATAACTGTGCATTAGTGACAGTGCAGTGTTTGAACCCAAAAGATTACCTTATTTTGCCATGACTAAATATTTGAATGAATAATGAATTAAATACATGAATTTATTTAATTTAAGTGAAATTATAAATGCAACACATACGAATGATCAACAATATAATTTTAACAGAAAAAGTGTAAGATAGGTGCAAAAAGTTATTTTAAATGATGATTTTATTTGCAAAGAAGTAAAAGCTATTTAAACCTGTGTGTGGATAATACTGTAATTGCCTCTACATCTAATATCCGGCTGTATTCTCATCGGTGGCAACAACTGCTGTCGAATGTTTGTGGTAATCTAAATAACAATTGAGGAATTTTGGTCCACTCCTTTTTAGGGAACTGTTCAAACTTTTGAAGAATCACTCTAATAATTCAGAGTTTTCAACCATTGCTTGCAATGTTAAGGCAAAAATGAGGTTTAAGACTTTCACTAGACACTATTGTAACATTTCATGCAATGGCACTTTATGGTGCATTCAAGTACATAATGGAC